TTCATAACTGAACTCAAAAATGTACTCAATGGTCACTTAACTATGCATCATGTTTTCCATCTATCACTCGAATAGGAAAATCCGTTAAGTTCAAAAAATGATGTCAACTTGAGTGATGAATTGGTAACACTGTGCATAGTTCAGTAATCATTGATATACCTTTTTTAGTCCAATTATGAAGTGTTAACATTTAGCAAATATCAGTGACCATTGAGATACATTTTTTAAGTTTGGATAGTAAGTAGTAACAGTTTATTTTTTTCTTAAATCGACCTTTATGAAAGAATAAGCCTAAGAAAATGAAGGAAAAAAGTTAAAAAATCAAATTTACCTCAGTTACAGTGGCACTAATTCAAACCTTTTTGTTTTTTTATAGTTTTTCTCTGTCATTTTCTTTCAGTGTTCCTATTGTTTCTCTTTCAATTTTTTTATACGAAATTCAAGATATGGTGAACTGATACCAGTTGAACTAAAAATCAAACGTACTTTTCATCGTAATGGAGACTATATATTGAATAAAAATAGATTTTTTACCCCTTCATTTTCTTTTGTTTCTTCTTTCACAGAGGTCGGTTTGAAGAAAAATAAATTGTTACTACTACTTCATAACTAAACTAAAAAATGTATCTTAATGGTCACTGAACTATGCACCATGTTACCCATCAATCACTTAAGTCGATGTCATTTGCTGAATTTAACAAATTTTTCCATTTGAGTAATGGATGGGGTAACACGGTGCATAGTTCAGTGACCATTGAAATACATTTTTTAGTTCAGTCATGAAGTAGTAACACTTGACAAAATTTAGTGACCATTGAGATATACTTTTAAGTTTAGTTATTAAGTAGTAACATATGATAAAGTTCAGTAACCATTCATGTAATTAATCCTAATATTGTGCAATCAAAGAATTTATTATAACTTTGAGGTAGATATTAGAGAAAAGAGAAAAGGATAATGGTTTTACTAGGTAGAAATAATAAGAGAAAAAATTTACATCCACACAACCACACTTGATTTTTAACTTCCCATTTCAACAATCAAACTAATTTGTTCTTTCAAAAACTAGGTGCACCCATCCCATCCCATCCCATCCCATCCCATTTCATCCCACCCTATGTACACCCACACTCCACACCCACGCCCACGCTCTAATTAGTTGTGACATTTTATTTCAATCTCTACCTCAAACCATGTCTTCAGAATCTATCCCAGTCGTTAAATGTATAGATGTTGTACGGTGGCGGTGAGAGATCTACAGCATCTTTGGGGCTGATCTATGTCAAAATTACATTTTAAATTTAGATGGTGCAATCTATGTATTCGTGTACTGTGATTTGGATAGTGTAATATGCAATTTCTTGAGTGTCCATGCTAGGTTGTGTATTGTGCAAATGGTGGTGGTAGTGCAGTGGTGGTCGTAGTGCTATATCTATGGTGGTGTAATCTGAAATTTTATGTGGATCTGTGTTTGGTTGAGTGTGTGGGTTGTTACTACAAGTGGTGGCGACACGGTGGTGGTAGTGATGACGCTGCATCTATGGTTCGTATGTCGATATGATTGGTTGGAGGCGGAGGTGGAGGTTGTGGTTGTGGTTGTGGATGTGGTTGTGCAGGTAGTGATGATGGTTGAGGTGCAATGGTGGCGAAGAGACGGTGGTAGAGGAGATGGTGATGGTGGATTTGAGAAGGAACTGGTAGTTATGATTGTTGATACATGTAGTGTTAGTGGTGGTGGTGCGATGACTATGGTGGTGAGGTAATAGCGATGTTTTGAGTGACTTCGATGGTGGTGGAATGGTTATGGATTATTGAGTGGGAGGATGAGTAATTATGACCAATAAAATAGATAATTTATGAATAATATGACCTTAAAAAATATGTTATTTGCGATTATCTTTGTAATTGTGATCTATAATTTGGGTCTTTATGACTATGGCGTTCCGATAAATAATATTTTACATAAAAAATGTATGATTTGCGAGCAAATTTATAATTATGCCCTATAATTTTTGTCTTCGTGACTGTGATATTGTATGATTTGTACTGGTACGTGATTGTGACCCTATATTATGTGTGATTGTGAACTGTACCTAATCGTTAAATTATAGATTACAAACTTTTATCAAATGTCACAAAATGTACCAAATTTTTATAAGGGATCAAAAAATGTGACTACTTTATTTTTTTAAAAAGTCTATGAATTTATTATTTTTGAAACATATTTTGAACCAATAGTTATGTAATTTTCTCAAATAACAACATATTGGTGTGGATTAAGATTTACGATATAAACAAGAAAAAACAAGCAAATATTTTTTATACTGAGCTACAACTCACTAGCCTATATATAGGTTCACCTATGGGCAGAACAAGAAATGTAAAAGGGCAAGTTACCTAAAACTAAGAGTTTAAGATTTTATTATCAAAATCAAGTGATTAAGAAATTGTTACAAAAATCGGGTATTAAAAACTAAAATCATTTCTCTCTCTATTTGCAAAGTAGGAAGTGGAATGAAACCAGAACAGAATGAAATTCAACAATGCCCTCGTCGATTAGCAATCCCTCCAAATCGATTGTATGCCAATCATCGCCTGTTAGCCATCTCTCATACACACACATTACTATAGTCGCAAACCCCAATCTATCTTCTTCGACGACCTTGTCGTCAGACATTTCCAACAAACACTCCATCTTGATTGAGACTTGCTAGAGTTTGATGTGAGATCTACCAAGTCCTCTTCCTCCACCTTCGACAAAGTTATTATTTCTTCCTCCACCCTGCCTCCACCTCCACTTTCATCGAAATTCGACATCAGATCCACCAATATACTCTTTACTTGCAGTGTTCTTTCGTTTACTAGCGTTGGAACTTATGTTCAACAATCTATTCAAATTTGAAGGGAAAGTTTTCCAATGTTAATAAAATTAAAGTCTTNGTTTACTAGCGTTGGAACTTATGTTCAACAATCTATTCAAATTTGAAGGGAAAGTTTTCCAATGTTAATAAAATTAAAGTCTTCTTTGGCAATAGAATTTTGTTTCTTTTATTTTTATTTGAATTCTATTTTTTTATTAAATTATTAGTAAATGCTGTTGTGATGAATTATTATTGTGTGCCGAAATTTTTTATCTGTTGGTGCAACTACAATTCTTAAAATCATTGTTGTTGCAACAAAGCTTTACACAAGAAGATATAGCAACATTTTAATGGCTGGATTGACTGTAATCTTTATCAAAGATGGTGTGACATTTTGCCACCTATAATTTTTGTAAATCAGGTGGTAAATGCAGCATTTCGGGATGGGATGGGAAATATTGGCTATAACTCGTTATTGTGTAATTGGTGGTTTTAGATTTGAGGTGCTTGTGGTGGTAAGGTGGAGGTGATGGTGGTGTGTATTTGAGGTGAAGCCGTTGGTGGTTGTGGTCATAGTGTATAGATTTGAGGTGGCGGTGACTATTTGGAAGGTGTTAACGATGATGACTGTGGTGGGTGAGGTGAGGTAGGGAGGGCATATAAAAAATGATTGTTATCAATTAATTTGATAATAATGATATTACTTGTACATAAACATTTATATAATGATTACATACACATGATATGATGAGATATAATTGGGTCAAAATTTCTTCAACCAAATAAAAAAATTCTTGACTCTATTTTTGAAATTTCATCCATACATAACCTATTATATATATGTAGCACGATCGAATTGATGATTTGTGACAAATAAAAATGTGTGAGTTGCGAGTAAACATGTAATTGTGATTCGTTGATTGAGTAATTTGAGACTTAAAAAATATGTAATTTATGACTAAACATATAATTATGACCCACAAATTGTGTCTTTGTGATGTAATCTTGTGCAATTGTGACTAGTACGTGACTGCAATCATAAATTGTATGCTATTGTTATCATGACCTATTTAATTAATATATAGGTCACAAAAGTTTATCAGGCATCACAAAATGTAATTGCTCGATTTTTGAAAAAATTCACAAGTTTCTTATTTTTGAAATCGTACTTTGAAACCTTTGTTGTTATGTATTTTTTCCAATGTAAAAACCCAAAAATGATTGTAAGCGGTTGTGGATCCAAGATTGTAGGTAGGCTAGGGTGGTCGTTGAT